CAGAGAAGACATAGCAGAGACATGGAGATCGTACTGCAGGGACCTATATAAAGATGATCAACGCCAAGAGCTTGTTAGCCAAATCTCTGACGAAGTGGAAGAAGAACCTGATATACTCGAAAATGAAGTAAGACAGGCTATCAACAAGCTCAAATATAACAAAGCACCAGGTCCAGATATGATAACAGCAGAAATGCTTAAAGCCACAGAAGAAACCGGCGTAAAGTTACTTCATCTACTCTGTAACCAAATATGTCATTCCAAACAGTGGCCTGAAGACTGGACAAAATCTACAATAACGACCATACATAAAAAAGGCAGCTTCCATACATGCGACAATTATAGAACTATCTCTCTTATATCCCATGCCAGCAAGATAATGCTACATATTATAATCAATGAGAGACTGAAAACATTCCTTCAAAGAGAAATTCCACAAGAGCAAACTGGATTTACCAAAGGTAGAGGCACTCGAGAACACCTGCTGAATATAAGACAGATAATCGAGAAATCTAGGGAATTCAACATCCCACTATACATATGTTTTATAGATTATGTGTAAAGCGTTCGACAGGGTCAAGTGGAGATGGCGAATACTAAAAGAAGTAAGCGTACCACAACATCTAATTACGCTTATAACCGAACTATATGAACACACTACTGGATCAGTTAAAGTACTTGACACACTTTCGAATGAATTTCATCCAGAACGGGGTGTCAGACAAGGATGTATACTATCTCCACAATTATTCAACATATATGGGGAGTATATTATGCGAAGAGCACTTGAAGGATGGGAAAAGGGCATCTCAATAAATGGTCATAAACTAAACAACCTACGTTTCGCAGATGACACAGCCCTTCTTGCAAATAGTCAAGCAGAGCTGATAGAACTTGTACGACTGATCGAAAACGAAAGTCAAATATTTGGTCTGCAATTAAACATATCAAAGACAAAGATCATGATAGTGGATAGACTACACAACAATCATCCACACATAACCACAATTGACCGGTTCGAGGTTGTGAGCTCATACTTATATCTGGGATCATTAATCACAAACAAAGGGTCATTACAAGAAGAGATTAAACGTAGATGTGATCTAGCAAAAGTTGCCACAGCAAAAATGACCAAAATATAGAACGACTGTCAAATTTCAAGAGCGATAAAGATGAAGTTGATCAACTGCTTAATATTCCCAATACTGACTTACGGATGTGAATCTTGGACTCTGAGACAATCGGAGAGAAGAAAGATAGACGCCACTGAAATGTTCTGTTGGAGACGAATGTTACGAATTCCTTGGACCGACCGTAGAACAAATAATTCAATTTTAAGAGAGCTAAAAGTTAGCCAACGACTCTCTAGTAAAGTCCATCTCCAACAATTAAAATATTTTGGGCATGTTATGAGAGGAAACGCAGAAAACATGGAAAGACTAATAATACAAAGAAAGGTAGAAGGCCGAAGATCACGAGGAAGATCCCCAACAAGATGGATAGATCAAATTACAGGAATATGCCAAAGACCTATGCATGAATTAAAAGAAATGATCAGAGACAGAGATCTCTGGAGACGGACGATACACGACATCACGTCGACCACTACACTCCCCTTGGGGGTCAGGATTGAAGAGAGAGAGAACCTTTAAAAGCTATAGCATGGAATTTTAGTTTTGCTTTTTAACAACGAATGTGGTGGCATTTGAAATATGCTTAAAAAACGTTGTATTTAAACTTTCATACAACAAACAATCTAAAACATTTAAAACTTTTTTTTCACAGCAAATCTTCAACCAAAACAGTCTTCTTAATGCATTTTCCGTGACGTGTGATCGTTTGTAATGTAAAACATTAGATTCTGCGTTTTTTATTCATATTTCACATTACTCACATTTGTTACCACAACTCAAAATTGAAATTTCATGTCATAGGTTTTAAAGACTGATCTCTAAAAATGAAAAGTTTACTACAGCTGGTTTAATCTCACGAGAATTGTAAAAAATGGCAAAAATCGCGGCACGTTAATTTATTTAACACTCCCTGAGTTTATTCTCGGCAAAATACAAAAATTGCATACGAAATCTGCACACTTTGCCTTTAAAACGCATCTTGATTTTTGTCGATAGGACTTTTGGATCAAAAGATATGAATTTTTACCGTCCTGCTGATACAAATTTTATTGAACATTGATTTCGCACGCGTAACTGACATACAAAATCGACGGTCCCTTCAAGCGTTGTTTATAAGAGGTTCATTCATAAGCGTTGTTCATTCTACATAAAAAAATGCTTATAAACATTTTTGAATAAAATTGTTCAGCTACATTTTTTATTTGAAACATTTTTTACTACGGTGTACAGATTCTTGGTAAATTGATATTTTCACATTTTTACCCCTCTGCGAGGGGGTTTTAGGGAAGTCCGGAGGTAAAAGTGGTGAACCTTTTTGCATCTTTTTTGGAGTTTCAAAATTAATATTCTCTGCAAAATTCAGCTTGTTCGTATGATTTTTTAGGGATCAATAATTCTCTGACGACTTTACTAATATGCAAGATACAATATTAAAAATTATTGCTATTGAGAACAATAACAATGTTTCTGGACATTTTATTCTGATCAAACATTAAAATCATGTGTAACCAAAAATAACTATTCATTCCAAATTTTGCGTGGTCGCCATGAGTCACATAAAAATAGAATATTTACATTGGTGGTCTAAAAATAATTGCCAACATAATATACTGCATTAATTTCTCAATGTGGGTGAAACGAGGATGTAACATTCTTAATGCAATTTCATTTTTCCGTTTGTAAATTTGAATTTTTTGTTGATTTCAAAGAACTGGAAGAGGAGTTAATTATTACAATGTATTAATTCCATTAATAATAAAGTAATAATAAAAAATGACGCTTTCGAACACACAAAAAAAAGCTATTGCGATATTCGCATTGTTATTTATATTGAAAACAAAAACAATCACACTATGGAAATTTGTGAAATCTGTTAAAAATTACAACAATCTTTGAAAGTTTACAATAACCAATTACTGTGAATTACTTTTACGATTATTTTCAATAATTTCGGTCTATGTATGACACGCAATAAGTATAAAAAATTGATGATGGTTTTTACCCTTTATTATCCATCCAACCAATATGTTTGTTGGATATGAGATTCCTATGTTCCTATCTATGAGTTGCGTTGACGTTCCAGATTATTATTATTTTAAAAGTTATGCGATATAATTTTAATTAATGATTATTAATAAATTCATTATATTGCAGTTGAAAAAAATTGAAAGTACACTTGATACTTCGATTTAAATTATACAATTTATATAAATATAAATTTATGATAAATCGTGCACTGGAACATCTGCGATTAATAATTTTTACACCAACGTTAAGGTGCTTATTAGTGGGAGTCTAGGGAAGGTCACGAGGCTCAACTCAGGCTGTAGTAACACTCACAATAATGTAGATGAAAGAGTGGGAGACGATAATAAATGGTTAGTTCCCTGGACAACAAAATCCTGTATGTAACATAGTATCATGTGAAGGATGAATCACGAAATTATAATTATGATTACAAAACTTTGTATCAGGCTCACAGAAAGAACCGAGAAAATAACTATGCCAAAAAATTATACAGGGAAAACAAGATTTCTTCTTCTTAAAGTGCCCTCTCCTCAATGGAGGTTGGCTACTACAATTTTAAACTCTTCTCTATCTTCAGCTGTTCTTATTAGCTGTTCAAAATTTAACCCTGTCCATTGTCCTGTTCTAAAATGTGCCCATTTATTGGGCAAGGTTAAGGTACGTTTTGGTTTTTTCGAATTGACATCACTTTGGTTTTTTTTAATGTTTATTTTCATACCAAATTGCTCACAGGTCGAGTTGGTCTTGTCTATGAGTCGTTGTAGACCTAAGTCGGAATCCGCAATTAACACTGTATCATCGGCGTATCTGATAATATTGATATTTACGCCATTCACATTGACTCCATCCTTGGAATCCTCCAATGCTTCTTTAAATAGAAACTCGGAGTAAAGATTAAACAGCAGAGGCGACAGAACACATCCTTGTCTAACTCCCCTCCTAATTTCTACTTCTGCGGATGTGGAACCTTCGATCCTAACTCTGGCGTTTTGGTTCCAGTGCAAGTTTTTTAAGAATTTGATGTCTTTTCCATCTAAACCGACTTCTTGCAAACGTTCTAATAGTAGGTCGTGTCACTCTATCAAATGCTTTTTCGAAGTCTATAAAGCATATAAATATATCTTTCTGTTGGTCGTAGCATTTTTGGGCGAGAACTAGTAAACTGAACAGGGCTTCTCTCGTTCCCATGCCGGCTCTGAATCCAAACTGATCGTCTCCGATGATTGTTTCGCACTTTCTATAGATACGATTATATACGATTTTTAGTAGGACTTTTACTGCATGACTCTTAAGGCTTATCAGACGGAAGTCATTGCAGTGTTGTGGATTTGGCTTTTTTGGTGGGATGAATATTGACTCCAGCCAATCTTGGGGTATTTTACCTGTATCATAAATGCGATTGAATAAAAGGACAAATATTTCGATATTTTCTTCACTGATTAATTTTAACGTTTCTGGGTATATTCCGTCTGGATCTGGGCTTTTATTTGTTTTGAGATGATTAATTGCAAAAACAACATTACTGCCCTCTTTAGAAGGACTGCATCCGAAGCAATAATTCCCATTGGTGTGTAACAAATTTACGATTAGTCATTTCCAAGCGAAATGGTAACACATATTTGTTGTATATCTTTTTTGTTTTTTGGGATTGTAAAGATTTCCTGACGAAAATTTAGCATTTAAATAGTTTATTCATATAATTAACTGTTCACAGAGTGATGTCCAAATTAATAACATATTTAAAATATACCAAAAACATATATCATTGCTTCAATAATCATATTTTTTTACTTAATAATTGAAAAAATATTAACTTTGGTTTATGTTTTCTTTTTCTAGAAAGAAGACGTCGAAAATGCTTTACGCTTACGCGCCATGAACGTCGAAGAGGCTCTAGACCTCCTCAGCCCTATGCGCAACAATCGAGCAAACGACGGCTGGAATACCCGTCACGACGATCACTACGAACATCCCCCGTTCTGTCAACGCTTTACTACCGGTCCTGGTGGCCAATTGACTGGTTTCCAACCAGGAAACAATGCTCCAAATATCTTAAACAACATGTCGAATCCGGGAACGAACAATTCACTTATTAATAACATTGCTCCTGCTGTCGTACAAAAGTTGTTGACACAGGGGGGTGGATCTCAAGGTTTTGGGGGTTCTTCAGCGAATGCGGGTAGAAATATCCAACCACAGTCTCAGCCTTCAACGCAACAACTAAGAATGTTGGTGCAACAAATACAGATGGCAGTTCAGGCAGGGTATCTCAATCACCAGGTTAGTAAAATAGAATACTTTTATATAGTGATAATTTTCATTAATAAATGAAAAATATATATAATATTGTTTTATTGTTCATGTTTTTTATAAGTTTTTCAGTTAGTACATCTTCGATGTTTATTTATGGTCCACCACTTCCTCGCATTTTCCTTCCCATATTTGGTTTTTATGTCTTATAACCATTCTTTTAAAAATCCTTTGTTGATTGTGGTATTGGGTTTTGTCGTCTATGTCTTGAGAGGTAAGCCATTTGTGATATGCTTGTTGTTTTATCTGTTTCTGTTCTAGTTCATCACTCCATAATATTACTCCATTATTTGATAGTCGGTAGGATTGCTCTTATTTTCCCAAGGCTTCATATGCAGTTGTTTCATAATTTTTGGTTGAGATTTGATTGCTTTTAAGTTTCTATGAAATTTGAGTTCGAAATTTCAGTAAGTAATGATCCGATCCACAATCTATACTCCTGTATACTAAGGTGTTTTCAACTATAATATAGTCAATAATTGATTTTAATTTTGTTATGTCCTGATGTCAAGTATATTTTATGTATATTTTTGTGGGGATAGAATCCAGAAAATCATGATTTTCAAGTTAAATTGTGTACATTGGTTTATAAGTCTATTTCCGTTATTATTTGTCACTTCTTCGCCAAAGTTACTATAATTATTTTGTCTTATGGTTCTTGCGTTTAGGTCACCCAGTATTATTATTTCTCGTTGATAGGCTATTTTCAAGGGTATATCTTCCAATTGTTGGTAAAACATATTCTTTTCTTGTACTGATGTGTCTTCATGGAGACATATACGCCTAATATAGTAATATTATGTCCAAGACGTTTAAATTCGCAGATCACGTCACTTGTACAATGCTCACTGCACTACTGTTAGTGTACAAATGCAGTGATCTTTGGACTCAGGATACTGAGAGACTCTGCAATTTTAAGACTAATATTCATTTCTATCTCTATTTTTTTCAGATTCTTAATCAACCTTTGGCGCCACAAACGTTGGTTCTCCTAAATCAACTATTGCAACAGATCAAGAATTTACAGCAGCTCATATCACAACAATCAATAGCTGGTACACCTATCAACGGAAAACAGAATAACGCATATATGCAGTTCTCAGTACTCATCACAAAAACAAAACAATCAATTGCCAATTTACAGGTAAGTTAAGTTAGGTAAGAAATTATTAAAAAAACTTATACACGTTTTTTAAATTCCAGAATCAAATCGCTGCTCAACAAGCGACTTATGTTAAGCAACAACAACACCAAAGCAGCATGGGTGCCTATGACTCATTTAAAACTAATCCCATGCATGATTCGATAAATGCCTTACAAACCAATTTTGGTGATTTAGGCATTAACAAAGAGCCTCAAATGGTAAGTGCATTTTTTAGTTTTTTAAAATTGATGTAAATTTAATAAACATAAGATAATGTAAGTAATATTCTTATTTTCAAGAACCCACAACAATCACGACTTACCCAGTGGATAAGTAAAGATAAGGATGATGGAGGAGAATTCAGTAGAGCACCTGGTTCATCTTCCAAACCTCCTAATACCTCGCCTAATATGAATCCTCTCGTTCTGAATCCATCAGATGGGTAAGTATCAATTCTATTTTTTCCTTTAAAATTATTAGATTCATGATCAGTATACCAAAAGTATTACCAAAGGCATCATATGTCCACAATATATATATAGCATTGTATATTTACATTTAAATGTAATTCGAGATTATTGATTTATTGCTTTCACAATATGAGGTTTTTTAATGAGTATTTTTAAAAACATTTTTAGACCATGGTCTACTGGTAGAACAGGAGATACTGGTTGGCCTGATTCTTCAACCAATGATAACTCGAATGATGTGAAAGACGCACAGTGGTCAACCACCACTCAACCTTCCCTGACTGATCTTGTACCTGAGTTTGAACCTGGAAAGCCCTGGAAGGTGAGGTTATCCAACCGCTTTTTCAAGGATCTAATTTCTATGGCTAAATAAGTGATAAACATTTTATTTTTTATTTTTAGGGTAATCAAATAAAAATTGAAGATGACCCCAGTATTACACCTGGTTCGGTGGTGCGTAGTCCCCTGTCTATAGCAACAATCAAAGATAATGAACTTTTCAACATGAATCCCAGCAAAAGTCCCCCCGCCACTGACGGTATACAATCATTAAGTCTCGGTTCATCCACATGGAGCTTTAATCCATCTGGTACCTCTACATCAAGTGCGTTTACTAGGTAAGACATGTTTTGAAACATTTTTGTTTCTATAACCATCTTTTTGTTTCAAGCAGCAACAACTTTTTGTTTTTTTAGTCCTCCTGGAAAATTGCCAACTTCTAAAGCTTTAGGAGATTTGAATCCCTCGACTGCCGTAACCTCTGAACTTTGGGGAGCTCCCAAATCATCCAGAGGTCCTCCCCCTGGTTTATCTGCAAAGGGAAGTGGTGCTATATCAAATGGTTGGTCAGCCGTTAACACTATGCCATGGGGACCAGGAGGCCAAAGAACTTCCGGAAATTGGGGAGGTTCTTCCCAATGGTTACTACTTCGAAATTTGACTGCTCAGGTGAGTGTTATTCATGTTAATTTGTTTTCATTTCAAACATATGTTTACATTTCCATTAAAAGCATTCTTAGGATGTTGTAACTAGTAACAAAGTCACTACAGAGGGTCTAAAAACCATCAGTATTTAGACAACAGAACTATTGAATTTATTAAATGTAAGAAAACACTAATAAAATACCCATAAAAGTGAACAATCGGTAAAAAATAAAGGGGTATTGCAATAGAATATTTTTAATTGTCTGAAATAGTGTGTATCAAGAAATATAGTTATCTTCTTCTTTTTATGTAGACATGACTATCAGTTTTTCAATGTGCCTCCAGCAAGTTGTCATTCCATCATTTTTCATGGTCTTCCTACTGATCGTCTTCCAATTGGGGAACCGTCTCTTGTCGTCTTTACTACTCTATTTGTTGTCATTCGGCTTATATGATGGTTCCATTCTATTTTTCTATTTCTTACCCAGTCCTTGATGTTCTCCTCCTTGCATTTGTATCGTATATCTGTACTTCTAAGTTGTTTTTCTCTCATTTAGTATCCTTTTTGAGTTCTTACTTTTTTGTTATTTCATCCATAATCAGGTTGAACAATATAGGACTCAAAAAATCTCTCTGTCTTATCTCATTGCCAGCTTCAATAGGTTCATTTAGTTCTTCTAAAAGAAAGATAGTTATGATACACATCATAAATGATAACAATGAGTTCAATTTAATTATTCATGGAAAAATAAAGAAAACAGTCATACGGGAGACACTGATAATATAGAAAACTAAGTGTTTTTAATGCTCTAATTCCGTTTTTGCTGAAAAACATACATTTTGTACTAAACAATGGCAATCTAAAACTACATTTTTTATTTCAGATTGATGGGTCTACATTACGCACATTATGTTTACAACATGGTCCGCTCTTAAGTTTCCATCTATACTTACACCAAGGCTTTGCACTTGCCAAATATTCATCTCGGGAGGAAGCTATCAAGGTGAGTAAAACTTACTAACAGAGATTTTTAGCTTTTCGAAAAGGTTGATTCTTTATATATTTTAATCTCTAATTAAACTTGACAGGAACAAAAAATTAAGATAAGAATGCTGAAAAACGAAAAAAAAACAATATTAATGTTAATATGCAAAAAACACTAACTGACAACATACAAATTATGGATGTAAATAAAAAGTGGACTAATATAAAAAAACATGTTACTGAAGTCAGCTCAAGAAAGTTTGACATAATACAGGCCTAAAAAACAATAATTATTGATGACAGAAGAAGTACTACTTCAGATTGAAGAAAGAAGAAAATATAAAGGAAAGGATCTACAAAAGTATAAAGAGATACAAAGACTAATTATGGCAAAAAAAACAGCTAAGGACAAATTTGATATGAGAAATATTCACAAAAAAATAAGTGACCGGAATGAGTCAAAAAAGTCACAAGGACACATAAAAGACAAGAAAGGAGTACTGCTAAATAGATTTATTCAAGACATTAAGAAGATGCTCAATACATTAAGAAGATGCTCAAGACATTAAGAAGATGGGATGAGTATGTTCAGAAATTTTCCAAGATGAAAGAGGTGAAATCATCGAGCAAAAAGACAAAAGAGGGAATCTAATCCTTATGAAAAGGAGACCAAAAAAGTGGCCTCTGATGGCGGACATATCCGGAAATGCGAATGCGCCAAATTTAAATTTTCCGACACTTATTAACAGTAGCTATATAATACTTTTCAGATTGTGTCTTAGACGAGAAAGTTTTAATTAATTATTAACGGTAATAGTCTAAAATGCGACACAATTGTTAAAAAACTTCAATATAAATAAGATTTTTAATTGACATTTGGGACAAACAATAACATAACCCAATTAAATTTGATGTCAAAGGAGGAGAGAGACTCTCTTTCCTTGTTTAATGTGGCCTCTAAAGATCGTACTTCCTGTCTAACAAAATGTTTGCCCCCACTACCTTTACATTCCCTCTTTTGTCTTTTTGCTCGATGGGTGAAATGCAGGAGATACAGGAATTAAATCCTTTAGAGGGAGACAGAAGATCACAATAGATGAAATCAAATATGCTTTGACTCTAAAGATAATAAGGCAGCTGAATTAGACGAAATATCTGTAGAACTGTTAAAACTAGTGGAAGAGAATAACTTGAAAGTACAGTAGAACCCCGTTTAACCGAACTTCGGTCAACCGAAACTCGGGTTAACCGAAACGATTGCGAAATTTAAAAAAAAGCGAAACGATGCGAAATTAAAAAAAAAGCAGCTAAATTAATTAACGCCGCCCCTGTTAAACCGAAACTATGCGCTGTGGGTGGCCACACTTCGAGAGATCCTCAACCGCGCGTGGCTCGCAAGTGTTTCCGCAGTTACTCCTCCTCCCTCCTACCCGGTTTGACTCATCGCAACGTCGTCATTGTCATTTCAGTTGTGCTATTGTATTCAACGAGTGAGTTTGTGGAAGTATAAATTCTCCTCAGTTCTTAAGCTTTTAGTAATTTAATCTTACAGTGTTTTATTTTAACACAGTTAGGTTGTTTTTAGTGTTGAGTGTGAACCTTGAATTTGTTAAACTTTACAGATTCTCATAAGGTGGTTTTAGGGCAGTTTTCAAAACAATGTCCGGTAAAAGAAAACGTGTCGTTATTAACATAGCCGATAAACTGGAAGCCGTTAGGCGCGTTGAAAACGGTGCTTTATTACGATGTATAGCAGCGGAATACAATGTCGGTGTTTCTACTGTAAGTGACTGGATGAAGAATAAAGAGAAACTTACTGAACATTCAACTAAAATCCCCAACCGCAAAACCATGAAAACTTCAGACTTTGAAAAAGTCAATGAAGCTTTGTTTTTGTGGTTCACACAACAAAGAGAAAAAGGTGTGCCTTTATCAGGACCAGTGCTTCAAGAAAAAGCCAAGATGTTAGCTCAACTTTTAGGAGACGATGGGAAAAACTTTGTTGCAAGCAGTGGATGGCTAGATAGGTTTAAGAACCGGTACGGAATTCGACAATTGATCTTATGTGGTGAGAAAATGTCAGCTGATCATGATGCAGTAGACGTGTTCAAGTCAGAATTTGAGGAAATCATTGAAGGCTATACATACGACCAAATATTTAATGCCGATGAAACCGGTTTGAATTTTAAAATGTTACCGAAGTCTTCGTTAGCTTGTGTTAAAGAAACTTCCGCACCAGGGCACAAAATGCAAAAACAGAGAATATCAATTCTTACGACAGCAAATGCGGCCGGATCATTCAGACTTCCTCTAATGTGTATAGGAAAAGCTGAGAGACCTAGAGCTCTGAAAAACATTGCTCCTATCGCGATGCCAGTTTTTTATCGAGCACAGAAAAGTGCGTGGATGACATCAGATTTGTTTGGAGATTGGTTCTACAAACAGTTTGTTCCAAAAGTAAAAAAATTTTTGTCAGAGAAAGAGCTTCCACTCAAAGCTATATTGCTTGTAGACAATGCCCCATGTCACCCTGGGAATTTACAAGATGGTGACATTAAAGTGCAATTTCTACCACCAAACGTCACCAGTCTCATCCAACCAATGGACCAGGGCGTCATCGAGACTTTTAAACGCCACTACAGAGGATGCCTCCTGAGACACATCTTACATGAAAGTGAACACGGAAATAAGGATCTTACAGAGTGCTTGAAAACCGTGAATATGAAAGATGTGGTGTACTGGTGTGCTCAGGCGTGGGACAAGGTTAAATCTAGCACACTAAAAAAAGCCTGGAACAAACTCTTCGATGGCCTTTCAACTTCAAATGATCAATGGAAGACGAGGATTTCGATAATCTCTCAGAGCTACTGAATAAAGTGCCAGGTTGTGAAAAAATTGAAGAAGACCAAATTTTGAACTGGTTAGAGGCAGACGATTCTGAACTTGAGCTTACCGACCAAGAAATTGTGGATATGGTCACGGAGCAGCAGGCAGCGCCTGATGCAGACGACATTAATGCAGAGACGACCCACGGTGACTTCAGCCGAGTATCAGCTGAAGACGCATTCAATGCACTTAAGGTAAGATTATTTTCAGCACATCCAAACTTTTTAAAATGTTCTAATTTTAGGTGTTACCAATTTTCTAACATTTTTTTACTGTAGGTGGCCCTTCGATTTGTGGAGCAATCATCTGATGCCACTCCCGCTGATGTGTTGCTTATGAAGAGATGGCAAGATAAGGCTGCTCGGAAACGATGTACAAATAAAACGCAAAAATCGATGTTTGATTATTTTAAATTAAACTAAATACTGTTTCCACTTTTGTTTTAAAATGCAGCTGCAGTATTGTACATACATGTATGTATATACATGTAACTTATTTAATACAGGTTTTTACATTGAAATAACGTGTGTAAATTGTTTAATTTGGCTAGAAAATATTTCAAACTCCATAACCATGGCTTAACCGAAAAAGTTGATTATCCGAAACATCTCTGCCCCCATTAGTTCGGTTAAACGGGGTTCTACTGTATTAACTTATATTCTGAAGAAATTTTCAAAAACACACTCAATATTATTAAAGCTCAATAATGTCAAGCGTTAAGGGAAAATTGTTAAACAACATACGATATTTAGATGACACTCTGATCATTTGATGATCCCAACAACATTTAATCGAAAGCTTAAGTATGAATAGTGCAGAGATGGGAATTACTATAAATGCTAAAAAAATATAGGCTACTTTAGGGAATTTTGATCAATGACACCAATGATCATACTGCCGAAATAAATAGGCGAATAGAGATTGCCAGATCAGCATTTATATGAATAAATACTCCTAAGCATAACGTGTAGAATCTTAATTTGGAAATCAGACTATGTAACATTCAATGTTATATATTTTCAATATTATTATATGGAGACAACACTCTAAGAATAATGGATATAGTCAAACTTCTCAATACACACATACAAATTGTGTATCTTCAGATTTGAAGATGATATTGATTAATATGATTCTAAAATATCTATACTTTGTTGTACATTTATTTAATTTAAATCATAATGATTTTATGGTCATTTTTCCTTTCAGGCTCAGACCACTCTCAACAACTGTGTACTCGGTAACACAACAATACTAGCCGAAAATCCAACTGATTGGGATGCAAACACTTTGCTCCAACAAGTAGCCAGTCAACAGAGCGGCTCTTCCGGTGCATGGCGAGGTTCAACCAAGCAACCCACCGGGGCAGACACCTGGAGTACCGGCTGGCCCAACAATTCAAGCAGCACCAGTTTGTGGGCAGCTCCTCAACTCGACAACTCAGATCCCGCTCGTGGCACCCCATCTAGTCTAAATTCTTTTCTTCCTAACGACCTCTTAGGTGGTGAGTCCATGTAAGTTAAGGATGAAACCAAAATATTCCATCTTAGTTACAAGTGTTGATATCTCTCTCCGCGCTATCACTATAAAAGTTTTATTGAATGTTTTTAATGTTTTATAATATTAAATTTAACAATTGTCTTAGAAATTTTGATGATATTTATTGTATTATTTAACAATCTTTTTTATTGTTATTTGTAAATGTATTTCTATTTTTAATTTTTATGGTGATTTAAGAGTTGTTGTTTTAAAGGTGTTTTTTGTTTATTTTCAGTTATTTATATAAGGATTTCAACAAATGTACACTATTATTATTATTATTATTAGTTATTATTAGCGATCTAGAAAAGGGTGAAGAATTTAAACATTTTTTTCCTGTTTGTAAGTTTTGCCATTTATTTATTTGGTGTATGTTTGTGGATTAGGTTCCCAAATAAAATGCTTAAAAATGACATTTACCAAATCAGACGTAATCGTTACTTCTAACTTATATTATGGACTGCAAGCGTTTATAGTATTCCATTGATATCACGCTCAATTCAAGTTTCATAACGCACTTTATGTGACATTCATAAAGAAACCCAACTAGTCTCAATCAACAAGATTATATAATTGCATAGGTATATAATATTAAACTAATTAATATATGTGACCAAACTCATTATAAGTTCACTATTTTAAGTACTGTAAAATTTGTTCTTTCATATAAGATATTTTTCTTGTATATTATGGTTAGTATATAAATGTTACTTTTCATAATTTAATATGTACCTACATATAAACTATTTGTATGTGTTTGTTTCTCCTGTAAAACGACAGCATGATCAGATTGACGAAATTTAATGTTCTCAAAAAATTACCCGATCATTTAAATGTTGGTCATACTCCAGTAGCAGTGCCTATAACAACAAGGCTAATAATTTAATTAATTATGTCTACTTTTAAAGGAGCTGTGCTTTTTGGGCCACTTTTTGATGATGCAGTCACAGCTGAAGATGATTTTTTATAAAAATTAAAAACTATTTTAGGCCCTGTCACGTGGCTACAATTCAATGTTAAATACAGTCTGTCTTACAGATTTTGTTGTTGTATTTTATCATTACTTACACGTATTTCACATAAAAAGTCTGTAAATATTTGGTCCAAAAAGCAGCTCGTAAGAAGTACAAACTTTGAAAGAATATTCTTTGTAGTACTAAAGCACCAAATACTCACAAAATATTATACTTAATAACTGTCCACTGTGATCTAAATTTGTTTTATAAGATGAGAAAGATTCTAGTCAAGAATGAGGTACAATGGAATGAAACGTACATTTATGCTGTGTGACAATAACGCCTTATCAATAGGAAATTGGATATGTGCATGCGACAGCTAAAACCTGAACTATTTTTTTACTGCTACTGTGGTTTTCCTTCCATAAAGCTTTTTTAGTGAAAAAAGACAATAAACGCAAAATTTTGCTTTGAAAGCATTTTGAATAGAGTATTTTGTAACACTTTTGCCTTGATATCGATGGTAATTTTTTAAGGATTTCGTCTAGTGTACCTAACATCCTGTCGCCTTACATCGTGGTCTCTTTATCCTCTCATGATGCATATCCGACCGATATTATTTTTCTTGTTGCAACAGAGTTTCTTTCAGATGTGTGTCATGACATAAAAATGTTGAAACCCACATAACCTGTGATCTCCGATTCCTTATCATGTAGAATTACACATACAAAAAATAATCCTTTATATGTAATATTGTTATTAAATAAAAAGTGCGGTTATGCGGAAACCGCAGAGGTAACACCACACAATCAGTTTTAGACTGCACATTCTGTACTATTCTTAAATAAATTGAGTAATAATAACGAAATATTTAAAAATAACATAACTATATAATATATTAACTGATCTTAACGAAATTATTGTGGCAGTGACGCTTTTACATCACAGCAATTCATAGTACACTATTTTCTTTAGACGGGCAAATGAGTGCAAAAACAAAACGTATTACTAATAATTTTTATTTCGAGATATTAATTGTCTAGTTGTATATTCTACTTAATTATTTTATTAAAAGTCTGTTAGTTAAGAAAGTCAATTTATACAAATAATATAGGTTAGTCTTTGTTTTTAGTTATGATAAGTATTTTAGGACAAACATTTATATCTTAAGTAGGTCTTTGTGGAATATCTTTTGTTTTGCTTCATAAATCGGGACAATCTTGACGAATAATAACTTATTTTTAATTTTATTGCCACAGTACAAACACTTTGATATCAACAAAACCACTATATTTTTCGGGATTAGAAGTCTCAATAAGCAACTATATCGAAAGAAAACTGATGTCATATGGGTATTCAATGAACTCTACAAGTAATGGTATATTTTATATCTTAAAACCAACCTATGCTATCTAGTTGTTGAAAATCCGAGGAGCCTTTTTTTGGGTAATCAAATATAATAGATAAAAGTTTCAACCAAAGAAGAAGATCAGGAACATTGGGCCTAAAACCTACATTTATCAGCATACTATTAATGCATTAACTACTGAGACAAATAATCAACAATTACAAGTTGTAGCAAATGATATTGTCGTTCTCCCATTATGTGACCCAGATATTGGAGCTTTTGTATTTTTATTTCATCACATATTTCTGTTCCTTTGATCACCTTCTTAAGAGTTCTTGACTAGTAACTATGTCCATATACATGTTCAGCACTTTTATATGCAGTTACATATCAAAGCCTTTATTTTTTCTTTATGGATTTAGTAACGGTAGCTGCTTTCACACTATATAAGATGTTGTCTGTGACTATCGCCAATGTTTTTAATGGATGGTGCACACTAAAAAGAAGACCATTTCAATTCTTGATCTTTATTATACTAAAAAAATCTTTGCTATTAATGTAAGTGCTCAGATATTTGTATATGTACAGCATATATATAAAAACGATAGAGACAGGATACACCTTCAAACCTCGTTAAATTTTGATGTTTTCCGATGCTATGGTATATTTTCATGTGTGCTATTTGGTTACATTGTTGGTTTCCCATGGTTTTAACATCTCGTGTATCTGTTTTTCTTTAAAAATTGTCAATACTTGTCGTGTTTCTCTGTTGATTACTTTCTCATAATCCACAGAGCAAACATACAATCTTTGTTTAGATCCATAAACGTTGTGTCAGTATATTTATACTAAATAGGTTAAAGCCATTGTGGAAACTGAGTTAATCTCCCGCTCTTTAAACTTATTGTTCTATTATCTTCACATTTTTTGTTCTTTTGAGTGGAAGCAGAAACTAGCCAGTCTTGGGATATTACAGCTGTTTTGTATATTGTGTTACATAACTTTGTAGATACATAATGTAATGTCAATAGTTCCAATAGGTAGTTCGTCTGTGCCAGGAGTATTTCATTTTTTCATATTTTTGGCTGCTTATTTCTTCATTTGTTATTTTTGGCCGTTTCAATTTATTGTTTTTATTGATCGCCGTCTGTCGTCCTGGGAAAGTTTCTATATATTTGTCCACATTGCTCATGTTTTGCCTCCAGTTGCACTATTATGTTTTCGTTGTTATTTGTTCGTTTCGTTTATCTTTTATGTATTTTTCCATTACTATAATCTATGATCTCGGTATGCCATATTCATCACTTCATCGTTTCATAATAAAATTTAAGAAAACTCCAGAATTGAGAATACTGCTTAAAATAAAAGTTGAAATGAAAATCTTGACTACATTTTATACACTTAACATTGCCTTTGCACATTAAATATTCATATGATTGTCAGTTCTAGGCATGCAGTATCTGTCAAACAGCAAGTTATCAAACCATATTTTGATACATATCAATAAAATGAATATTTCAATGAGAAAATACTTACTACAGAATTATGTGATGTATTAAAATATTTGCCAAATCGTTAAGAGTTTGATGCGTTACGGGAGGAGATGGGAAGCATACTGTACTATTCGAAAGCCCCGTGATCAACTAAAGTATGAAAATAGTCAAGTTCACATCTCTATCCCATTTCGTACGGCTCTTGATGACATTCAGAATAATGTTGGTGTTTATGTGTATTGTATGTTTAGTCATAGACTTTCTTTCTATGTTAGTCCTAAACTGTGATTAGCGTTCTTAAGGGGGTACAGACTATGGAGCCCGTATAGAACTCAAAAATCACATCATTTTATGGTGTTCATGAAAAACTGATTCTTCTATTACTGTCCTAAATGTAAAATTTTCCTTTTGATATAACCATTCTTTTGATATTTTGTTTATAAAGTATTTATGTAAGTTCATTTTAATTATATAAATAACGAAACAAAATTAAACAAGCTAAAAAGAAATACGCTAATGTGAAAAATATGTGTTCCTACTTGTGTGATTTTAACTATCTAACCGAAAATTTGAATTTTAATAGTTATTAGTTATGTTCCGTTAACGGTAGTGCGACGATAATTTTTGCTGTCAAACGTGACATGAGACATTGACGGATGATGTTGACAGTAAAATGGACAACGACTGAAACATTTCATGCTTTTAAAAAGATGTGATAACCCACGTTCAAATAAATAGGGTACAAAAAACAACATATCATTTCACATTAACGTATCTAAAAAATCAAAATCATATTTGAGACTTATATTTGTATACTTGAAAATTTTTGAATAGGATGTCATCTTTATATTATAATCAAAAATTCGAACAAAAAATGTCAATGACCCTTAAACTACTATTAAGGAAAATTCCTAAATGGTTTTAACATGAATGTAAACAATGATTTTCTGATTCCGTAACATACTTCTGTAACATTTTGTACCACCACGATATATATAAACTCGATCGTACTAAGGAATTCTACAAGTTGTCACATTTTCAAACATTGAAAGCTTTTTTCCTACTGTCTAGAACTTTTGCGCAAGATTAATCATGATCCACAAATCTCTTTTTCACTCGAAGTTCACTACATTTTTTATTTTCATTTCACATTTGAATGCTCATATTCATAATCCATGACATTAAAATCTACCAACTATTTTAATCCATTATTTGTACTATAGTGGAAAATGGCTTTCGGT